GTAATCTCATAAGAGGGAAAATAAGTTTGGATTGACATTCAGGAAGACAGGAGCTATTAGAACGCTTATTACTCAGATGGAAAGCATATCACTTGGAGGAGTGTAAATTATGGGCTATATTTATAGTACTGCCTTAATTACCTGTGGGCTTTCTTTTGAAACAAACAAAAATATTTTCATATTTTTACAAGATAGAAGATAACATGTTTTTAATTTAAGTGGAAGTTGCGATTTTTTTTTTTCATAGCTTTACCACTGTCACAGTGATGTTGTTAATTGTATTGGCAACCAGGAGTATAAGCAGAAATCCTAATGACTTTTTTCTCTTTATGCATTTTATTAACCTAACACATCTTTTTAATCTTTTTCAGAATCCTCAATTTAGTAACACTTCTACTTATGTCATCTATGCTCACTTGCTAAGACAGATAGCAGCCTTAACAGAAGCTGACCATCATTTCCTAGTGCACTGGTCTAAAAAGTAAAAAAAAAAAAAAAAAAAAAACCTAAAAATTTCTTTTTTAGGATTACAATTGTTATTGCATTTCCATTGATGTTGACTGTCTTATAAATTATATGAAGTTAATTTAATTCACTAAAGAGATTGTTTTCATTGTTTTCCAAGTACATTTGGACGTAGTCCACTAAGTGATACTGATTTATAGATACAAACTGGATATACCATATAAAACAGAATATCTTTATGCAAAAAAAAAAAAAAAAAGAGCCTTAATTGCAAAATAACTTTTGTAAGTTATTTTTCTGTAACACATGCAAAGTAAGTTATGCTTGTTATTTTTTTTAGGTATGTGTTTAAATAATATTAATTCAAGCATCTGTATGACCTTTGTTTAAATAAAGGTTTATCTTGCATAATTTGCAAAAGACACTGTAACCTCACTGTATTTCATAAAAACCACATATGAAATTGAGTCCCTGCTTTGTAGTGTAACAGAGGTGGTGAGAGTGTATAGTTAGATGCATAATTAATTGAAATAACTCTGAATAGCACCTTGCCATATTCACAATTTCCTTGTCTTCTGTGGAATTTGTTAGTAAAGGATTCTCTTCTTTGCAAGGGTAGAAATTATATTTCTCTCCCCCACCCTGTAGTATGTCTAGATATACAAATAAGATTTACTCTCTTGGTTAAGGATGTGATAGGCATATTGACGTTTTTATTCTTAAAACATGTATTAGAAATCTAAACCGTTAAAATGGGAGAACTCTTACTTAGAAAATGATGCTTTAATATATCTACATGTGTGTGCAGTTGTGATATAATGGAAGTGACACAGTGCGTTATTTGAAATGTGTACTTGTCACAAGCATATGAAGTACCTTCTACTCTTTGTTCAATTGAACCAAGTATCTCAAAATAAATAAATAAATAATATATAATTCCTCAGTATTCAGGCTGTGGAGTGGAATAGCTAAGGAGTTTTGTTTTCTTTTTATTTACTAGAAGTCAAGAAGAAGTAACAATTCTATTGCATTATTTATAAAATCGCAGTCATTAAAAAGCCTAGTTAGGGGTTCACTGAAGAACATTATGTACCAATATTTAAAAGCATGCTTTCCAAAGTTTATATTCGGAATTTTTTTTATGTATAGGAAAAAAACTTCTTTAATAGCATTGAAATCTGTTAATATATACTGTAGTGTGGACAGTGATCTCATGAGAATAACTGCAGCATTTTTTATTTAGGATTCCACAGAAGAGGTTCAAGCAGCTGGTGGATAGGTTACTGCAATTTATTTCTTTACGCCTGTTTCCTGCAAAACCTGAAGAGTTTCCACCTATGGTGAAATGTACCTGGTGGATTCCATCAGCAACCAAAGTCCTGGCTTTATTTAGTAGGTATTCTTCTTGAACTTTGTGTGCATATGTATGTGCATGTATATGTATGTATGTATGTTTCTGTGTGTGTATATATATACACACATATATGGAGGTGGATAGTTTATACCTTTCCTCTTCTTGGGAAGACTCACAAAGATAATGGCACATTAAAAAAAATGCCAAGAAGTAGTAAGCAACAAGAAACATATTTCATTTTCAAGTCTTTGCACTTGCTATGCATCATTTTCCTGTAACAACAACTGAAGATCATATGTGCAAACAATCCACAGAAGTTAACAATGGTTAAAGTTTCCCTTAGATTTATAGAAGAAAGTGTTTTAATGTCTAATTGCCAGAATTTCTTCTGTAACTGGCTTACCCCCACAGAAGTAATTAGCATCTAGAAGAATCTAGGCAATGCATGTGCCTCTAAAGCTCACAACCACAGCTTAAAGAGAAAGTAAATCCCCATCCAGTTCAATTTAGAACCCAGCAAATTTGACCATTGTGAACACAAACCTTTTCCTCATCTCCAATAGCTTAGTTTGCTATGGAAACAACAGACTGAAGGTCAGTCCCCGTTTCTTGAGGGGTAAAAACCCTTCCTCCTTTTCTGGAGAAAATTAAGCCACCGAGTGAAAATAAAGACTGCAATGTGAATGTTTTAACTTTGCTGTCAGCTTGAAACTTTTCCTTAAAAGCATTCCAGAGCAACAGTTTAGACACATAAGCTTAACTGTATCTAAACCCAAGACATGTGTTAACTAGTTATCTCTGAAAGAGTTGCTCACTCCATAATCCTGGGAAAAGGAATATTTAGTAATTCGAAATGCGCTACTTCGTCTGATCGAAATTAAATTATATTTAAGTGCAAATAGAGAAAATGTGTTAGCTGTTTAACATTATATGAATACTACATAATGATGGGCAGCCTAAATGTGAATTGGTTTACTTTATTTGGTAGAGTAATTTTTGTACTGGTTAGTCTAGATGGTATAGATGTGCTGAATCCAGGCAGTGTTTTAAAAGGCTTTTGTGTTTTCTTTGTAGATGCTGCAAATAGTCTGATCAGTCCTCCCATTATTTCATATACAGAGTTCTATAATTCTACACTTGATCATATTGATCTTATGGAAGAATATCATAACTGGCAATGTTACGGGAATTCTCACAGGTGAGAGGAGTAACTGGTTGTTTTTTGCTAAGTAGTATTTCAAAGCACCGTATCTACACTATATCTATCTTACGTATAGTGTATATATAGTGTGTATATTTCGTATACATACCCTTTATGTGTATGTATAGCCACATTAAATACTGTACTTTCTTGGGAAAAATAGTATAGCTACTGTTTCTTATACTTGCTTTGCATGGGTTTGAGATTGACTGTAATAAATCTTTGCCTTTGCAAATGGAGAAAAAGATGTAAAATCATAGAATGATTAAGGTTGGAAGGGACCTTAAAGAGGTTCCAACCTCTCTTCCATAAGCAGGGACACCTCCCACTAGACCAGGCTGTGCAAAGTGTCATCCAACCTGGCCTTGAACACCTCCCAGGAGGGAGCTTCCACAGCCTCTCTGGGCAACCTTTTCCAGTACCTTGCTACCCTCACGGTGAAGAAGTTCCTCATGATGTCTAACCTATATCTTCCCTCTTTCACTTTAAAAACATTACCTCTTGGTAGTCCCTTCCCCAGCTTTCCTGTAGCCCCTTCAGGTACTTTTGCCTCAATGATTCCTGAAGTTTTTCAAAGTTATTTGTATTATTTGATTGCAGTGGAATGTGGCTGGAATCTGGTATTTTAGACGTCCTAAACACTTGTAACCCTGAGCTGAATCTGAAAGACCTGTGGAAAATCAGTTCCTTTGAAAATCAATTCTGCACCAAAAAGCCAAACCAGAAATATTTCTCCTGTGTACCTAGGAATGCTGCACTGAGTTAGCTGTTTTTCCTGCGTTAAATAAGGAGATAGTGTTTTCTGTAACTCAATGTAGCAATTAAAATTTAGTATTTAAAGCAGATTGTTACTTGTTTTTATTAGACCTATTGGTAATAAACAACAACAAAGAGCTTTTCTGAGGGTAAGTATTATTACTAATTACAATTTCTAGTAGCATTTGCAAATAACAGTTTGTTCTGCTAAACTGAGTATCTATGTATATAATACAAAAAAACCCAACTATTAGCAAATTACTACCACTGGAGTGAAGGTAGTTACTGAATAATAATGCAAAGATTCACTCCAATATTCTTTGAAATAAAATAATATGCTAGATGCTAGAAATTGAATAATTTGCCTTTTTTCTTTTGTTAGGTTTTCTTTCTGTCAATACCCATTTATTATTTCCATAGCAGCAAAAAAAGTTATTATTCAAAGGGACTCGGAACAACAGATGATAAGTATTGCACGGGTAAGTCATATGGTGATAAAAGTTTGTGTCTCATTGGTTGGCATTTTATATATATATATAATGTGTATAGATAGATGTTTATAGGGTTTTGTTAGACTGGTATTACATAGAGCCTTTCATCGCACATCTAGTATTTTGGACTACCCTGGAAAATAACTTGAGCCATTTTACTGTTACTAGTCTGTAGATGTCCATGCTCTCTCAATATTTTTTATTTTAATGTGCTTAGTTTCAGGATGCTTCTAAATACCAGTGTTGTGGACAAAAAGTTAATGTATTTTTTTTTTCTTTTTTGAGAATTCAGCATAGTGTGCTAGCATGTTAAATTAACATGGAAGAAAAATTCAATGAGAATTTGGGAATGTTCTTTATTTTATTCTGTGAAGATAAGTTGTCATGGAAGACCAAAATGCAACTGTATGGCCACAAGTCACAGAAGAGGTACTGCTTCTGGGCAGCCTCTTGTTTTGAAAGTGTTGTCTGCGTCATTCAGTGGTAATTTCCTTCAGGTGCTAGGTGGTTCTGGGTTCCTCTGTGCTCAGTGTGGCAGCACCAGCACTGTCCTTTCCTGTCTTGCTGGGTATGCCTTGTGAATAGTGAAGTAAAGCTCATGTCAGTCTCCAGAAACTTATTGGGTATTTTTTTAAACTATTTGGGGAGTGTAAAAGCTTGCAGAACAACTGCTGCCTTCCGGTTAAATTTACTGGTAACTTAGTTCAAATATGATGTAAAACCTATCTAGACTAAAACAAAATTGCTTTCCATCTCTTAGAAGATATTGAAGCAGTCATCATATTAGGGTAGTGTGTTTAATGCAAGATAATAAGGACTTTTTACATTTAACAAGTGTGGTGCTTTATTTTTTAAATGCAGATGTTGCATGTGTTATGGTTTTTTTTCATTTAAATAGCAAAGCCTTGTGGATAAAGTTTCTCGAAGACAGAAACCTGACATGAATATGTTGTTCCTAAATGTGAAAGTGAGGAGGACACACCTTGTTAGTGATTCACTTGATGAGGTAACACAATCTGTAATTAAATGGTGTGTTGATGCAGAGTAGCTACTGCACAGAGATTTCAGCTTGATAAGTTGTATTTAAATCTTTCAGCACTAAGAGATCAGGAATATAACTGTATAATACTAAATAAAAAGAACTGAATTGCTGTCACAATAGCAGTGCTGCAGAACAGATTAGACATTGTGAACTTCATTTTCTGTCCTCATACTCCTCCACAGCTAAGCCCATAATGAACATGTTTGCATGCCATGCAGTGTGTATGTGTGCTTGCAATTTTTGCCTTAAGAAAGCAGTGCATAATTATCAGGTTCTGTAGGACTTTGTTCCATGTGAGGAATGTGAATAGTAAGTGACTAATCAATAATGAGTTTGTTCTGTTCTAATTCTTGGAATATTTTTATTTTCCTTCACTTACTTCTCTATCCTATAACATTACTTTAGGCTTTCTTTTCTTAACATATCTTGATTTTTAACCGATTCCTCATATTCTTTATTGTATTTTTTCCTTTTTTTAAAATGAAACAGTTGTGTCCATTAAAATAGGCAATTCTACAGTATCCACTGAGCCTTGCTAATTAACATTATTCATTGAAATCTAGTTCTCTACTCTTTCTCAACACTGCAAACAGCCCAGTGGTGAAAACAAAACAAAACTAAACAAGTTCTGATTGTTCTGGTTCAGAAAATGGAAGTTTAAACTTGTTTTTCCTAAATTAAGTTCTGTCTGCTATGGCCTTTTCTCCCGGCATATTATAAATATGAGTGGTCATACTGCTTTCTATCAGGCATTATATGTTTTTATTTACCACACTGAAATAACCAAGAGCAACTTCAAGAGTTCTGATAATCAAAATTCTCTATTTGTTTCTGAAATGCTCTTCTGCCAATCTTAGGGATGAATAAGAATGTATTAGATTATTCCTGTCATCAAAAGTGTGGGGAGTAGAAGGTGAGGGAAAGATGTCTTAATTGTGTTCCAAATCTAAGAACATGACTTGCAAAGGAAAATCACTTCAGCTAATAGTTTGTGTCAAATATTACAAATACTTATAAAATTCATGCAACAGGAATCTACTTGAGAAGCTGGCAACATGGGCATTATTTTAGCCCATACATCTTCCTCACTGGTTTAAATATTATTTTTTTCTTTGAAGCTGGCCAGCAAGTGATGATTTCAAGAGAAACCGGATAAGGACTTCATGTCAAAGATCACTGCTAGATGTGAAAGGCCGTAATCTAATTCTTTGCAGGTCTTTTGCATACCTGGATGAAATGCTGTCCCTTAGGATAAAGGAATGAAGAGAGCCTGTTACCAATTGTCTAAAGAATAGTTTTACAAAACAACTGATACTTGCTGGCAAGCATCTTATGCTGAACAGAACAATGTCCAAATGTTGACAATTTTAGCTACCACCTTATTTCAAAGTATGTCCAAAGGATGTCCACATTATTATTTTTAATCTATCATTTTGTCCTGGCAGAATGTCCTCTGTATAGGTGAAAAAATTTATAGGCCCAAAGTATTCCAGACAAACTCGGTTCACTGTGTCTAGTAGCTTATTAAAAGTCTGTTTGCATACTATCTAACCTCTTTTCAAGCCTAGAGACTGGCACCGTGTGCAAGGTGCTTGATGACGCCAGGTAGTCACCATCATCTTGTTTCTGCAATTGAATCATTGTTTTAATATAGTGTTGACCTATTTGTAGGAGATTAAACTAGTAATTTGTATCAAGAAAGCAGGATCAGTAAAGACAGATGTGTCTAGAGGTACTGATAATATGTTAAATCTCTCTGTTCTTCTTCCCTATGTATTTTGCAATAGCTATCACGGAAAAGGGCAGATCTGAAAAAAAAGTTGAAAGTCACATTTGTAGGGGAAGCTGGACTTGATATGGGTGGCCTGACAAAAGAATGGTTTCTTCTTCTGATTCGCCAGATTTTTCACCCAGATTATGGTGAGTCCTCCTAAATGTTCTAAAATATAATGTGAAAATTTGTTCATTTTAAATTATCAAAACGGTGATGGATAAGAATTCTTCCCTAATCCTGCATTAGGCAGAAGAGTTACTAACTTATGTAAAACCCAAAGCGGGCAAATTAGAACTGAATATAGATGAGAAGTAATGTTGTTATTGAGGAAGGTGGAAGAGAGTGGGAAGTGCTCAAAGAGTTTTGAAGATCTTAGGTTTTGACAAGGAGGCTCAGACACTGCTGAGAAACTGAGATTTTTGCTTCAGTGGTATGACAAAAATAGACAGTGAATGAATCTCTGATCAATGGAAAGGTTTAGAATGAAGATTCAGCTCTTTAAGACTTCAGCAATGCTAAATCTTGTTTCAGGAACTGGAGACACTATGTTTATGGTTGCTCATTGCTAGTGAGTATGTTGGATACAAAGCAGGGGGATTCAAGACAAGCAGTAAATTTTCCTTGAAGTTTTTCCTCTGATATATGTGTTATTACATACAGTGTTTATAATTCTATCCAAAGAGAGAATCTTGTTTTACCTTTGGGCAGATGGGAGGAGGCTATCAACTATTTTATGGAGTAGGACAAGGATAATCTGGTAAAAATAAAATGGAGTCAGGCCTTTGACAGGTTTTATTCCATTTCTCTCCTGAGTGTTAGTGAATTGCTAGACCTAGTAACAATCTAAGAAGAATAAGCAAAAGCTATGCAAACCATTGAAGCACTGACACTTTTCTGCCCTTCAAAATTTTCTAGAATTCACACAAGTATATGCAATTTAATAACTTTCTTCCTTTTAGTTTAATATGTAGTTTGGTTGTACTTGGAATATGATATTCAGGAAACAGGAAAAGACACACAGTAGCCTCTGAAATAGATGGCATAGCCAATATTGAAGTGGAGATAAGGCCAAATATATTTGTTTGTCGCTCGCATCCTTGCCTTTTTCTGCTCATACTGCATTTTCTGTTTTTACACTACAATCAACTGTCTCAATTGCTAGTTTAGGAAGTTTTCCTGGTTTTTCTTAGCTACAGTTGAATGTTGTTATTGTGCTGCTCAGTTCTGGCAAACTGCTAACTGTGTGTGTCCTCCTGTGTGTCACTGTTTTCCATTTCCACTGACAGTTGCACTGATAGTGCCTGCAAGTTCTAGCACCATTTCTGTGATTGGTATAGGCAGCGGTTAGTTCATTCTCAAATTTTTGGCATCATCTATTCTGTTTGGAGTATCTGTGACCACTAAGATTAAAGTGATCTGAGATGCTCTCAGAAGAGAGAGAGAGGTCCTTCAGTCAGGTGCAGAGACAGTACAGACAGATGTGAGACTGAACAAAGTAGCCTGCCTCTGCTGTTTCCAGGCCTGTGAGCCCATAATGATATTTGCAGGCCCAAAGGAGGAAAAAAAAAGGAAGATTTTTTTGAGAAGG